TGTGGGAGAGGGGAGAAAGAGGGTGGAAGAGGGGAGGGGGAAACCTGGGAGGAGGGAGCTGGAAGGGAGAAGCAAGGGGAAGAAGGGGGAGGGGAAGCTCAGGGCTCAGGGTTGGGGATCTTGCTGGATCAACTTGTTTTTCATGCGAACCTGCTCCTGGGTTCATATGTGGCTTTGGTGGCCAGGCTGGCAGCTATCCTGCCATAGATGGCCACGTTCCTTTGTCTAGTGCAGAGATCATGGATGTTGGGGGCATACCCCCCAAACCTAAGTAAGATCCATCCTGATCTCCACCCTGGACCAGGAAGGCGCCCGCCTTCTCCAGGCCCTGGCAGGCTCCTGGGAACTGTCAGACTGCTCCTGGGGAGCGGTGGAGGGCTGGCTGCCAGTGGCTTGCTGGCTCATATTTTGGGGCCACTGGATCAGGGGCAGTGACTGCTGGCTCTGGGCTGGCAGGCTTGGAGCTGGCATAGGCACTGTGGCCAGAGTCAACCCCTTTAAGGGCTCCGGGAAGCGGGGGAGGGAGAGAAGTGTTCTTGTTGGAGGCTGGAGTGGCCACAAGGGCATCCTGGGAAGGCTGGAGGCCCCCTATTTTGAAATAAGTGTCTACACAGCATTTATTTCGAATTAGCTATTTCGTATTTGGCATTATTCCTCATAGAATGAGGTTTACCAAATTTGAAATAAGTGCTCCACTATTTTGAATTTATTTTGAAATAGTGGTTTGGCTGTGTAGACGCTATTAAAAGTTAATTCGAAATAATGGCTGTTATTTCGAATTAACTTTGATGTGTAGACATACCCTTTATTTAATTCTGTATAAAAAGCAGAACAGCTCCTACAGGAGACACTGATTCTACAGCCAGGGGATTAAAGCCATTCATGTGGGAGACTTAGGTTCTAGGAGACTCCGGCAGAATAGGGACCTAAACCCAGAGCTCCTGCACTCTGGGTGAGCCCCCTAGCTGCTATGGTTTTGGTTAATCTGGAGTCTGTCCTGTTCTTTCATGATTTTTTTTTTAAAGACTTCAGGTTTGTTCTGCTAAAGAATTAAAATGAATTCTTGTTTTCCAGACAGTCCTACATTAAACCCCTTCCAGTGTGGGAGAGGAATAGCAGCCAGCTGTTCTACCAATTCAGAACTCTGAACCTTTAGGGCCAATCTTCTGGTGAGAGAGGGACCATTCAGCGATTCTGAATACAAGCTGGGGAAAAATTCAATGGTCCATGAAATTAGTTCAGCCCTCTGCAGCAAGGACACACCGGATGCTCTCAGAACATGGCTGTGTGGGCACAAATGCTCCCATAGCTGCTGCAAAGGGTGGGCTATGCTGGTGATCAGACAGTGGGGGGAGAATTCTGTGCATGAATGACACCAGTTGTGGGCAGCAATCAGCCCAACAGGTGAACACTGGGAGAGGCATGCAGCTTGCAAGCCTATAAAACACCATCTTCAGATACTTAGCAGGGGGGTTGGTGGATGGCCGAGGGTAGGGGGGTTGGGAAGGGAAGAAAAGAAAAGAAAAAGGAAAGGCAGGGGCAGGGTGTGGGGAGCATGCATAAGAGCTCCAGCTTGGAGGGGCTGCAAGGACAACACAGAAGGAGCCATACTGATAAAAACAGATGAGTTTACAGTAGCAGATGGAAGCACAGAGAGAGGGACAGAAGGGAGTAGGAAGGACAGGAAAGGCAGCCCTAGCCCTTGTCTCAGAACTGTTTGGCTCTGCCAGCTACAGGACTCTCTTTCCTTGCTCCTTCCTGATAGAAGCAATGAGGACTGGAAGGGAATTAGCCATTTCTGTGTTTCTAGATGGGGGAGGTGGTGGGCGGAGCAGCCAGCCCTCATTAAGGGAAGGGTGATTGACAGCCTTTTGCTTCTTGATGGATGCACTCAGCCAGCATAATGCAATGGAGCTTTTCTGCAGGGCAGGGAAGAGAAGGGGTATACAGCAGGTACAACCAGATGAACACACTGTTCAGCTGAACAGGGATTCCAGCGGAACTGGTCAGATCTTTACCATGCTCATAAACCTATGTTGGCAAATATCTTTGCCATTTTTTGAGCTATGCAACCCTTCCTGTTCCACAGGCTGTTTTATTCTCAATCCGGCATGTTATACTCACTCCCAGACAAGCTGCAGGAAAAAACCCCACCCTGCCCTCTAACTAGGTTAGATTTGTTGCTAGCTTTGGAATCGTTCATTTCCAACACGGCATCTGTCAAGAAAAGCGGTTTCCAAAATCAAGGGCACAAATGGGTTAATTACATAAGATTCGGGTGATCCTCGGTGAAATAAATTAAACAGATGGGCATCACATCCCCTTGGATGTCATCCTGCCACTAACTACTAAGTGATAAAACAATCTACATTATTCTTGTGTTCCAGAAAATCATAGAGTGATCAGTGTGAAAATGGGCCATAAAACCTGAACCGAGCTCATCCTGATTTATGAGGGATGAAACAGTGAGAGCAGTAGCTGTGGATGGCACAAGACAGCCCTGAATAGGAGTATTCTACTCTGCTGAGTGAAATTGGAATTGGACAGTCCCTTGTCACTTCCATTGCTGTTCATCCTCTTGTTTTTAATCAGTTCTGCAGCCAGAGGAGCTAACAAATTCGCCAGGTGTCTGGACAAGGTGTGTGTGTGGGGGTGGAGCCTCAAGCAAAAGGATCAGGGCTGGGATAGTCAGCCCTCCACACTTCCCAGACCATGCAGAGGCAGCGGCTGGGAGCCCAAGGCCCTTTTGAATGGCTGGGTTCCAGCGCAGTTGTTTCCTTTGCTCCCATCTCCCCCATCGGCAGGTGAGTTGGTACTGTTTTCTGTTCCTCATCCTCGTATAGGTTATGTGACCTGAAATTCACTGCTGGAGACCCTTCTCTCAGCAGATGTGAAAAAGCAGGATACACATACTGGTATCCCCTAATGAGCTGAACAACTAACTCCTCTGAGTCAGCCTGCAGAATAAAAGGAGATAGGGACTAAGCTGCTTGTAGGGTTGTCAGGTGTCCGGTTTTGAACTGGACAGTCCAGTATTTGAGCTTTATGTTCAGAAAACAAATTGAGAAAATATAAATGAGAAAATAGAACTGTCTGGTATTTTCTAAATAAGATGTAATGTCGATTGCAATGTCATGTCAAGTGTGTCCGGTATTTTTGTTGAAACCATCTGGCAACCCTAGCTGCTTGCTGTTGATCCAATGGAAAAATGAATGAGCTCACCTTTCTCCCTTCGCTGTTTTATAGCTCTCCCAAATATTAAATCACAGCGAAGCGCAGGACTCTCTTGCTCTCTGGCTTGGAGATCAAGGGTGAAGCTCATGGCAAAGAGAGAGCATGTGACTCAGTGTAATAAAGGCTTAGGAGAGCTGTAAAGGGCCTGGTGTTTAAAGGGAGCCTTTGAAAACCTAGTCCACAAGGAAGTCGGAATGTTTGGGGTTGGAAGAGAAAGGAAGCCAGCATCAGAGGCCCTCTGCTGGAGAGGCCAGGCTATGGAAATGTGTTAAACCTGTAAATTAAAGTTGATGTTGTTTTCCCCTGAAACATGCTAATGGGGTGCAACTTCATCAGAGCTCTGCAGTGATGCCCCGCTGCCCCACCCTACAGGCCAGCAGCAAAGAGAACTGGTATGAACCCTACCTGTTTAGGGGTATGAAGCAGCTCCTGAGCAATCGTTGAAGCCACAATAGCTCGGTGATTTGCTGGGCTTGGCTGGAGGAAAAGTGACAGCCCTGCCACCATCTGCACCCCAAGGTCTGTTATGGTCACTTTGTCATCTAGTACCGTCACCGTCTTCTCTGCCAGAATGGAGTCGGACAGAGGAGAAAAAACCTTTGGAAGAACAGAAAGGGAACAGGATCAGGAAAGGGTTAACAACTGCAGTGACCCATCTCACCACTCCATATCTACCTGTGCCAAAAGCCTGGCAGAGGACAGTCCAGTTTCATGCAGGAAGCAAGAAGAACCCAACCCGAGGAAGGCCTACAGCTCACAGCTACTATGTCAAATAGGGACTCTCTTATTTTACTCTCATTATTTCTGTTACTTCCTGATAAACCAGGAAATCATACATCCTTCCTCTACTAATTTTGCCCAGATCCTGCAAGGTGCTGAGCATCCTCAGAAGGTTCAAAGGGTGCTGGAGGGTCTCAGCACCTTCCAAGACTTGTTCTTTCTTTTTCCATTTGCAAATATTCATTTCTCTATCTCTGAAGATCCCAGTGCAGCATGCAGGTCATTGCCAAATGGGAAACTGATTCCCTTGATGCAAATGGCTAGTCTCTATATGCCTCTGAACATTTAGAGAGCAGGGAATAGTTAATCGACACACACAATCAGTCCCGGCCATAGGCAAGGTGAGCAAGGGAAATGCCTTCGGCCCCACGCTTTGGGGGCTCCGTGCTGCTAAGTATTCACTGTCCACCAGCCGGGCCTGGGGCCCCACTCCCAGTGCCCTACCTTGGGCCCTGTAAACCCTTTAGCCAAGCCTGCACACAATCTCTCCCACCCACAGTCTGTGGCTACATTTGCTGTTTCTGTGATGCTGAGGCCAAATCCTCAGCCAGTGGAAGTAAGCATAGCACTACACTCTTCATTTATACCAGCTAATGATATGGCCCCCAGAGTAGCTTTCACAGATACTGAACACCTTACATCCAGTTGACATCCATTAGTGTTATGGGTGCTCAGTATCTCTGAAAATCAGGCCTTTAGTTTCTAAGCAGCAGTTCTACTACTCAAACTGTAGGGGGAGCCTCTCCCATGTGGGAAAGCAGCCTGTTTACTAAGATCTTCTCAGTCCCAAGAAGGGTGCATTCAGCAAGGAGGCTGAAATACAGCTTTTGATTTGTCTCACTACAGTGGTAGTGGCTTTTGCTACATATGTTTTAATTGACCGGAGATGGAATACATGAGTGTAAAATTCCAGGTGTTTTAGCAGAATCCTGTCCTGGTTCTTTCAGGGCCATTATGAGTTAAAGCAGGAATAGTAGAACCCAGAACAGTTCAGATTATGTACCTGGATTGTTGTCATTCCTACTTCTTGTCCTATCAAAATCCTTCCTTCTTGTAGCCTGGCAATGTGAGGCTCCTCCAATTTCATAAAGTCAATCACTAGGTCTGTAATATCAAACTGCCAGTCAGAACCCAGCAAGTAGTTCAGCTGATTCCAAGGGCTAGAGTCCTCAGCAACAAATTGTGTTAGGACTCGCACCATGGGAAGCTGGTACTGGAGAGTGCAGCCTCTGCCTTTCCGCTCATCTTCATCCTCATCGTCACTGTCCCTTGTGGGCCTTGAGAAAAAAAGTCAAAGGACGCATGAAAAAAGGGTTTAAAGACACAACTCTTTCGCAGCCCCTTTTCCTGCAGTGAAAACTAAAAGCAAACTGCTAAGTAAGGAAAACAACTTCCTGGAGTAACATCAAGAGCAGAAGAGTGATTGTTGTTAAGAGCAGAAATGTGATCACCTTTGACTTGTAAACAACATACTTGGTCAGAACAATGGAGAGAGTGCATAGGGAGCACCCCTCAGTGTCCCTATCAGCTGCTGTAGCACATAGGGTCATGCCATTTAATTTCATTGTTGGTTCATGGCATTACTCACATGATTGTAATAGGTGTGAGATATTGGTGCCTTTTCTCTGAAGAGCTCCACTGCAACGAATTGCAAAGACGAGCCAGAGCTCACAGCCCCTTCCAGACACCCTGCAACTATGGACTGGATTCAAATCCAAACTCTGCCACTGGACTATCTCGGTAACTGACTTAGGAGCATATATCCCATTGAAAATCACTGACTACTTGTGAATGGGTGGGCAGGGGGAGAGCTGGGATTCAGATGCAAACTGGAATGAGAGCTGTTTTTCCTGGGGTTAAAATCAGCTCTGGTCACTTTAAGAAAATGCATGATACATATTAAGTGATTAAACCAACCTCTTATTGGAAACAATGGGGACTCTCCAGCCTTTTATTTGGCTTAGCTCCGTGTCTGAAATATCAATCTGGAGAGGCAGCCGTGGAACCCAGACTGTGATTTGCAGAGGGGCACTCAGATATTGGTATGTAAAATTCACTACTGCATCCACTTTGCCTTTCATTTCTTTGCCATTGACAAACACATAGTCACATCTGTCAGAAACCTAAAGGCAAGGAGGGTGGGGAAGAAAGAGAAAAGAAGATAATTACTGCGACAAAGCAGGCTCAAAGTGGAAACCTGGCATCCGAAAAACAAAAAACAAACAAAAAAGCCTCCTTTCTCTTTACGCATGTTAATGATAGCATTTTACAATGGAACTAGTTAAAGTAAAAAAAATCCTCCTTTGGCTCAGAAGGCATAATTATGCTGGAGATGCCTAAAGACTGGATACTATTTCTGAAGCTGCTGGCTGGTTTTCTATTTGTTATTCAATGATCCACTCACTGATCACATCTCTATGGAATTTATAATGAGAGAGGCTCCTTCGTAGCATGGTCAAAAGAAACCCAACAGTCCCATACCGGACTAGTTGGATGAAGGCAATGCATTAAAGTTCTCCCAAGACCAGAGTTTTCACCTTCAGTCTGTTCAGTGTCACACACCAGTCTGAGGCTGGAGCCTGCTCTGGAATGGATTTGACACAGAGAATGGAAACAAAGACATAGTCCTTTCCTCAGCAATAAGCATTATCTGTTTATAAATGTTTACATTTTGATTAAAGCCATAAAGTAATTCTAAACACTGCAGTATATTCATCATTAACATGTAAATACTGACCTGAAATATAAGCAAGCATTAGCATAGTCATGTAAGAGTTATACCAGTAATCACTTCTTTAATCAATGTTGTAATTTACAGACCATTGAGTTTTCTCATTTATTACCTTACTGAATACTAGTGGGATGGAATAGAATCCCTCCAGAATATATAAATCATTAAGAGGGATGCAGATAGTATGAAGTGGCTCAGTGTGATAAAGTCATTGTCAAATCTATTCCTAAAGGTGTCATAAACGTCTGGGGAAATCTTGCGGCACATTAATCATACATTAAGTGGCTAGCAAAGGGAGCTGTTGCATTACTAAATGAGCTGGCATGTCTGCAGAAATTACAAGTAAACCCAACAGATATCTTCAGTTCACATGTTTTCTCCCTCCCCTTCAGAAACCTATTTTATCTTCTGTAAAGAATGTCATTAGCACGGGTAATGGCCCTCCCACCTGAACATCTATTTATACCATCATCTGCTCCCTTTGATTTTTGTCTTTCCCCATACCACTTTATTCAAATGATGCTTATCACATGGACTAGCTCAAGTCCCCAATCTAATCAAATGGATGGGTGCCCTCTATGACCATGGATAAACACAGGGGCTTGATATGCTACACTGTTCCCAGGTATACAGCACACATCCAATCTGTATCCTCTGATAGTTTACATACTGCTCACTTTCTGGCATAAGAGTCGGGAGAAATATTTTAAGGGAGGACCTCAGAGAACATAATCTGATCACAATTTTATGAAATGACACAATGTGGTGTAACTGAATTCTATTCATTCAATAAAATGCTATCTAGGACCTGTCTGTTTAGCCTTTTTTTTCACCATGTTAGCCAAGTTGGCTACGTCTACACTGGCATGATTTTCCAAAAATTCTTGTAACGGAAAAGTATTCCGTTAAAAGCATTTTTGGAAAAGCGCATCTAGATTGCCAGGACGATTTTCTGGAAAAGCACTTTTCCGGAAAAGCGTCCATGGCCAATCTAGACGCGCTTTTCCGCAAAAAAGCCCCGATTGTCATTTTCGCAATCGGGGCTTTTTTGTGGAAAACACTACTGTGCTGTCTACACTGGCCCTTTTCTGGAACAGTTTTCTGGAAAAAGATTTTTGCCCGAACGGGAACAGCATAGTTTTTCCGGAAAAGCACTGATGATTTTACATTAGATCAGGGGTTCCCAAACTTTTTGACACGGGGACCAGTAAATCCATTCACCAACGTTTGGAGGACCAGTAATGTTCATTTGCATATTTGCATATTCATTAATCAAATTATGAATATTCAAATAAGTTGTTTCTGGTCTTCCCAAATCTCCCAGTGCCAGCTTTAGCAAAGTTTTTGATATGGTCACCCATAATATTCTTGCCAGCAAGTTAAGGAATATGGATTGGATAAATGGGCTGTAAGACAGACAGAAAGCTGGTTAGACCAGGGTTTCCCAAACTTTTTACTTTAATTGGAACCCTTTTTTTTCAGTTCTGCTTTTTGCAGCCCAAAAATATAAATACATGAAAAACAAACTGAGAACATGTCTGGTATTTTCTCAGTAGGTAAGTTGTATTATTACTAGATGTATCAGTTTGTAGTTTCGAACTGCCT